GCTTCTCTCCATCAGGTAGAGGGAGATTCTTCCGCTTCCGCTTACCAGCCTTGCCTCTCCTGGGCCTCAGCAAGCAGTCCCTTCCCCAAGAGGACCCAGACGCAGTCATGGTGGACTCTCCCCGACACAGCGATGGCTCGGTGGCCACACGAGACTACCAACTTCCCACTACCAGAGAGAGCTGCAGTCCCTCTTATGCCAACGACACCGCCGCTCTCATCGGACCCAGCCACTGCTCAACCCCAGTGTCGGGCCCCTTGGACCACTCATCCCCCAAGGGTCCCTGGAACCGGACATACCAGAGCCAGGCTATCACACAGACCCAGCAGCAGAGCCAAGAGGACACACTAGCTGGAGCTCCGTCAATCCCGGGCCTTACTCCAACTGCTTCCAGAGAGAGCTTGTGCAGTATCCGCAGAGCCTCCTCCGTTCATGACATCGAAGGCTTTGGGTCCAAACCCAAGACTACATTCAGGGACAGGCATGCCAGTGAAGGTAGGTCAACCATAGCTGCAGTCTGTAGAGATGAACATGAAGACTGCTTTCACATTCACTTATCCGCTTAAATATGAGCTGGATTTTTAATGCCTGAACTGTGAACCAGCCCAATCACAATCCAATTAGCTGCTGGTGTAAGTTACCCCCCTGAGAGTTGGTGTAATCACCAGAGTAAAGCTGTCGGGGTTCTTCTGTAAGAGCATTACCTAGAGTACGTTTGTAAATGTATACAAGTAGAGCTGCAGTAGCTTTCTCTGGTTGGGCAAACACACCATTTAAGGAGAGGTAGTATTCCTCAAGGACTTCATTCTTATATCCTCCAAGTTTGTTGGTTGTAGTCGATGAAGCTCTCATAAAAACTAGGAAAGTAACTTAAGTCATAACATGAAAATGGATCGGCTACAGCTACTAGGTCTAGAAGAAAAATGCTGATCTAACAGCTGCAGCTTGGTTTCGCGAAGACGAAGAGATTTGTAGACGTCTTGTTTTATTTTAGTGCTGCTGGAGAGGTATAAAAGACGTCACAATGAGCCGCTGTGTGGACTAAGAAAAGGATATGAAAAAGAAGAAAGGCTGAAGCTGAAATTGCAAAGATTTAAAACACTTTTAGGGTGAAATGGTTTGGATTTTTTAAGAGAACAAATGGTTTATAAGTGGTCAAAGGATCTTTAATACAGTTATCAGAGAGAAGGTCTATGGATAATGTTAATTATATGTAAGTTGTGAAACGTTTTTGTTCTCATAAAAAAAAAAATCTCTACCTTAATTCTGAATATTTGCAGGAAACGAAAACTCAAAAGGTAAAACTGAGATTTTAAAGATAACAGTGAAAAAGTAATAATTTGCAAGATGGAAATTGAGTTTTAAATCTTTAGAAAAAATAACATCAAACCATAATAAATCTTTATATTTCAGGGACTTGTAAGCCTAATATACCGGTATTGGTATATTTCTCCTCTTGTGCTACCTGTACACCAAACTAAGCCTTCCCCAGCCTGTACGCATCAAATGTTTAGAGTGACGTATTCAGATTGGAGGGCTCTAAAATGAAAGATAATTCATTGTTCATTTATTGCAAAAATGTGTACAGAGTAGAAACAAATTGGTCCTTGGTTGTGCAGATGAGTTGGAGGCCAATGATCCACTGGAGACTCCCTGCAGAGAGCATCCAAAATATAATTTATTTAGACCATATTGCATATAGAAATAAAGCTATCTTAACTGCTCTCATCCCAACCAAAACAATATTTAATTAACTAGTTTGCTCTCTCTTTTTTTAAATGTATAAAAATCCATACTTTGTACCATTGATGTTCTTTCCATTTATGGTTTATTTTAAGCGGATGGTAAAATGTCCCTTCAGCTCAATCAAGTTTACTTCACCCCTTAAGTACAATTTATATCATAATTACTGAAAATGTCTAATATCAGCTGCCCTCTAATGAACTCTACAGGCCCCAGTTGCACTTTTAATGGCTCATTTATCATGATTAAAAACCAGAAAATCACTCATCTGCAGTTCCCCTGTCTTTTTCCTCCTTACAGACAATGGTCGCAATATCAAAGGTAACCAACAGCAGCTTGCTGCATCCTGGACTTGCGCTTCTTTTGGCACGCCTGTTGGATAAGACTTGTCTAATGCAAAAGCCTGCTTCTTTGCATGAATTTCTCCACAGAGGGTTAATTTTGAATGCGAACGCCTTTGTGGATCACTGACAGTGTGTTTGTAAGTTCTCGAAAGACTGGCGCAGCACTAATTGATGTAGTGTGAGTGTAAACGACCTGCCTGACCCCCTCGCCAGTCGCTCAGGGAGGGCTCAGTAAAGACAACACACTGACCTGTGCACGCGCATGTTTGCAGCATCACTTTGTTTCTCTCCTGCTTGTTGTCTGCTGAAGACGATCAGTGGAGCTTTCCACGGTGATTCCTCCCACTGTCTTTAACCTGTGCACCCTCTGAATCTGTGCTGCCACATCTGAATAAAAACCTGGATTCCGTTTCCATTCAAAAATTTAACACCTATACTTGGTAGTTAATAAATATACCTAATGCAGTTTTATTCTGCTTTTTCTAGGACATGCTACTACTTTGCAAAAGAATTGACACCCCTTAAAGGTTTCACATTGTGCCATGTTACAGCTACAAACTTAAATGCATGTTTAATTGTATATGATAGACCAACACAAAGGAATGCATGAATGAAGTGGGAGAAACATTTGATGTTTTCAAATGTTTGTTACAAACTGAAAAGTGAGGCATGAATATGATCCTGTAGATCATATGTGAAAACAAAATTTTCTCTCCAAATTAAGCTATTGACATCCAGAGACCAACATTTTCTGCCCATTATTATTTCTAATAAAATCTTCAGCTTAGTAAGATTTAACTAAGACTGTAAGCAGCAATTTGCTTTAAGTCTGTACTTTTCCTTGGTTATTCTAATATGATTCTTACTCTGATCCAGACAATTTACCTGCAGCCCAGGTTATTTGTTCATCATTCTCCATCTTGGGCAAAACAACTGTGTTTGCAATACAACTGTATGTTTACAGAACCAAATAATTATATCGTAGAGGTTTCAATTGAGGTTAGATTTAATTTGACGAGACTAAAACACTGACTTTCTCGCTCCAGACCTTTAGATGGCGGTTAAAGTGGGTTTTCCTCCACACGAAATGAAAGAGTTGTAGCTAGCAAGCAGATCCATGCATGCAGGTAGATTAACTTTTCCACTCAACGGTAACAGCAAATTCTTACAACAATTAATTTGGAACAAGCTAGCGTTCTGGTTCATAAAAACAGTTTAATTGGAGTAAAACATCTAGATAAAAGTGCCATTACAATTTTTAATTTGAAAAAAAGGGTCAAATTTGGCAGCCCTACAGCATTGTCACAGTATTTACAGTCTAAGAAATGTAAACCTTAAAGACTGAAAACAGTTAAGGAAAAACATTCCCCATATCATTCAATTCAGTTTATTTCTATAGCACCAATTCACAACGTATATCATCTCAAGGCACTTTACAGTTTACCAGATCATACAGTCAATTTAATTCAAAGTTTTCTATCTTAAGAAAAACCAGTTGATTGTATCAACACATTGACTCAAATGCAATCCCTCACACTAAGCATGCTTGTAGCGACAGTGGAGAGGAAAAACTCCCTTTTAACAGGAAGAAACCTCCAGCAGAACCAGGCTCAGTGTGAGCGGCCATCTGCTGAGGCCGACTGGGGTTCAATGAGACAGAAGCAGAGATACAAAAAAGCAGCTGTAAAAGGCGTCCCCGTCCAGGAAACACACAGCCAGGCAGACAAGCTCCAAGCATGGGCGGTTCTAGACAGGGGCCAACAGGGGCCTGTGCCCCTGTAGCTCATGTCTTGGCCCCTGTTATGGCCCCTGTACCGAAGACATAATACTGGATCTACACTGGAACAGACAGGGTCTTTTGGATCCATTTCTTTTCTTTTTTTCTAAAATTATTATTATTTTTTTTTTTTTACAAATTCTGTTTTACTAATTATTTAAAAACAACAAAGCGATAGCTTCAGCGGCATTGAAATAGAATCCAACTTTTCATCTGCTAAAAGATTTTTTTTTCAAAACAAACTAATTTTTGCAGCTAAATTTATCAGTTTTTCTTGAGTTCTAATTCAGATTTTACAGAAAACGTAATTTTTACTTATATTAAGTCAAAAATATGTAAAATTCCTAAATTATGAATATATATTGACCTAATAAGACATAGAATTTTAATTAAACCTAATTGAATAAAAAAAATGTCACTTCATTTTATGCTTTTCTGGGCCCCCATGAAAAAATGCTGGCCCCCTCCTGGCCCCCTGGTACATTTGGTCTAGAACCGCCACTGGCTCCAAGCCAGCTCCCATGTCAGAGGATGAAGAGAGCACATACAGTTAGATACAGTCAGAGAAACAGGACTACACTGGAAAATAGGCAGATCTCCAACATCTATAAACAAAGGTGTTGATGGCAGCAGCACAGCTGATATTTCTCACCAGGGTGGAGTCACAGCCAAACAGGAAGACAAGGCAAAGCTTCTATGAGAAAAAGCAGAGAGAGAATAACGTTAGAGATTGAACTAACAGATTCTGCAGAGTGGGAGAATAGAGATAGAATGAGGCGGAATGATGAAATATGGGTCCCTATGTCCTCCAGAAGTCTAAGCCTATAGCAGCATAACTATAGAGATATAATGATGCTCCCACCACCATATCTCAACATGGGGATGTTCAGTGCAGGGTTACATGGAGTGCTAGTTTTCCCTCATGCATGGTCTTTTGTTTGTGTCCTTAAAGAAACCCTCACAGCACACCTTGGCTCACGCTAACGACCATGTGTCCTCCTACTGCAACTTGGTCTGTCACCTAGAATCTCATTAAAATATAGAAAAGCTTGTTGCTGTAATGTGGCAAAGTGTAGGAAAGTCAGAGGGGGATGAATGCTTTCATGAAGCCAAATCGTCTAAGGCATTATTTTCTTTTAAGACTGAGTCATAAAAGCGTATCTGGCAGCATCGGCTCGCTAACCTTCCCATCGCAGAATCCTTCCTCAATACTCTAATCTATTCCCTAAGCTGCCAAAGCAATTGTTTGACAATGGCGCAATGTTGATGTTGTTTACACCCCTGACCCTACAATCCAAGCAGCCTTCCATAATCCCACTTTCCCCTCTACCTCCTATTTCTTCTCTCCCCTGGTCTGCTAGTGTCGCGCTCCTGGATGGCTGGGGGTATGGCTTTAGCTTTTTCTTTTCAGTTATTCTTTATGACTGCTGTGATGTACCCTGACTGTGGCATGTATTGAAGCTGCGCATGCAGTCTCTCATCCTCAGCTGTCTGTTCCCCCGTCCTTGACTCTCAATCACTGTAACGTTGTTGTTGAAAAGGGAGGTAAAGCAGTGCAACCTTCCTTTGCTGGCTCAGGCAGCTGAATCAGCTATTCTGTTTTTCACTTTTGATCATTCTCATTGGGCCACATGCCTGTGTATGTGTTTTATTCCTGAAGAGTTGTTTACTCTTGTAGGAGGCCAGGAGGTTGTCAGTCTTTTTATGTTGAGAAATATTAGAAAGCATAACCCTTTTTGGAAGAAAGCATTTGTTGATAAATTATTTCTGGTCACAGGTTTACATAAACACCATCTTGGTCATTTTACCTTTAACCTTTAAGGCTTTATTTGAGCTCTTTTTGTTGTTGATGGTTTTCTCTTAGTTAGAACATTATATACTTGGTTTTAATAGAATATAAAAACAAACATTAAGCAAAAGTTTTAAAATTTGCATTTCTGTATTGGCTTTCTCAATGATATACAATCATCTAAATCCTTTAATATTCACTTTTTCTTGACCTTCAACTTGTCATGGGACTACGGATTAAAATTAGCTCTGATGGCTAATTTGCCTGTTATAGTTTTCAAAGTGGGGGGCCATTAGTGGATGCTTGGGGGTCCTCATCTAATCCTCATCATTATTAATATATTTCTCACTCCTGCAACCTGGTTCCAGATGAGTATAAGTATTCCTACTCGGTTTTAAAGATTTTACTTTTATGGTTTAAATATAAATATTACATATATGCATAGATATTTGCTACAGACATAGGTTTTATAGATATAGATAACAAATTTAGATATAATCAAGCATTTTTTACTTTTTGACATGAAATGTGGGGAGGGAGCTTTAAATATAAATAAAGTGCAAAATAACTGAAATAAGACAGTAAGGAAGCCCATTTCCCCCACTCTGAAGGGGAAAAAAAACTAACCAACGGATATAGTATAAGAGACACAAAGTATCACCTTAATACTATCACTGAAGTATAAGTAGTATTATTTAATCTGACATGTATACTGTGGTAGCTGAAGATAAAAATAAAGCATTTTTGTATGGAAGTGAATCTCTTAAGTACCTGGAGCCAAGCACCTGTGATTGTTTGTGAGAGTGCACTTGTGCATGTAAAGTTTATCCAAAGGAAAAAAAGCTCAATGCTGGTTGTGAAGAGCCAAAGACGTGCCCCCCCAGAGCACTGAGGCCTGCGCAGGGGGACCCAAACCCCACATGCCCAAAGGGACCCCCAAAGTAAAGGCGCCCAAGAGGGCGCCCCCCCCCCCCTCATAATATGAGATATTATTAAATACTATCTCATAATTAAGACTTAAGTATCTCATAATTTACCAAGTGTTTTCCCTGCTATAGCGTGTCTCTCCATACCTCTACTTAAAGGCCTCTATATGATCAACTGATGGCTTGTACAATTTTCACTTCTTCCCTGGTCTGTTATTAAACACAGCTCTTTGTAATTATCAAGCAATATTTGTGTACCTTATCTGTAAATGTACAAAGTTATCTGAAAATGTATTTTAATTTGTAACATTATTATCTCTGTATCTTACTAATCCCTTCTCCCCCCTCAAGTTTAAATGTTTGATCTTTCTTCCTTACCAATACACTGAATTTATAACTCTTGTAAATTCACAAATGTAAAACTTCAGCATTGGCTTTTTCATTAGAAAACCAAACTAATAGTTGCTAAATATTTTAGTGAAACACTTGAACATTTCCTCATAGTAATGAGACAGTATCTCATAATTATAAGATTCTATCTTATAGTTATGAGATAGCTAAATCACTATTATGAGATATGATATCATAATTATGAGATAGTTAGGTTTGTGTTTTATTTTTCATCAAAATGGCGAAAATTAGCTTCCATTTGGAAATGTTCTTATTTTCCAATATTTACTTAGAAGGCGTGCTCCCTACGCCCTAGTTGCAGACCCTTCAACACACCATTCGTTGTCAGTTCAGACAAAAAAAGTAATTTTCACCCTTTATAACTTTAAACATAACTGAAACTCTTCAACTAAAATTGAGAACTGCCGCTTTTGTGTAGCAAACGGAGGCTGCAGCTTCGCGCAGCTTTATATGCTGGTTGAAGCATATTCCTCCTGAATAAGGGAACGACTGAATGGCCTCACAGGAGTAACTCTACCTTTTTGTTTGTTTTTCAATTAAAGTTCTTAAAAAACCTTTATCCTCATTGAATAAAAAAAGGGAATCATTGTTTAAAACAAAAAACAAATCTAAAATTTAAACTTATAAATCCAGTTTTTTTTTTTTTATACTTGTATGTTATTCTATCTCTGAAAAAAATCGGCTTAAAAAACAGAATTAAAGAGAACTTTGATGCCCAGGATGAGTCTGTGTAAACCTCTGACCATAATTGTTTAAGCTTAATGAGACGGGGAAATATTCTCAGTGTTTGGTTGCATCCTTTGATTTTATTCCTGACTCATTACTTTCAGCCACAGAGTTTCCATTATGTTTTAATGAGGATCAGCCGGTTAATCTGAGATGGCTCATTCAGCGGGTGTGGAGTTTGTATTTCAGTGTCTGTTGTAATATCAGTGTTGTGTCGTGGTTCGGCGTACACCAACAGTAAGGGGCCTCTCCGTTCCCATTCTCTGTCACAACACACTCGACCATCTGACTGTTTCCTGATGTCCACAGTTCACAATCATAAAAAGCACAGGTCACCGTTTGTCGCTGATATCCTCGCCTTACCGCCTTCTCTTTCAGGCCCGCTCAGCCACATCAAGTCCAGCCTGCTCGGCTCCACCTCCGACTCCAACCTCAACAGGTACAGCACCATTAACAAGATCCCCCTCATCACCCTCAACTTCTCTGAAGCCAACAATGAAAAGAAGTGCCCCTCCCCTCCTTCCTCTGAGAAGACCATCATTGCTCCAAAGGTCAAAGACCGAACACACAACGTCACAGACAAGGTCACACAGGTAGGTTCATGCATTTGGGTTCATTTTATATGAATAGTATTGACCGTCACTGTTTTCAGTCTTATCTGTTTAAAAGTTAAATAACCCTAAATAGTTTTTTATTAAATTAACTTCACACTTGGACTGTTTTGTGTGACTTCAATAAAATGAAATGAACAGATATTCTGTTAAAATGTGAATTTAATAATAGATCATCCAGTTAGAGGTATCATAAAGCACCATTAGCCATAGTTACACCCTCTGACAGAGGTTGCTACAGGACGTAGGATGAAGGAATCAAATCAGACTACAGTGGGTAATCTGATGTGGGCAGATTGAATCCACTGTCTCATCTGTCTTCTCGGAGTCTGACGATACTAATATGTGAAAACCATGGAGGTGTCTTTCACCTGTGGTGCAGAAGTTGGGATACTCTTACAGCTGCCAGACGGCGTCTACAGCTTCAGGTGGGTTTCTAGAGTTACAGTCAGGTATGGAGGTCATCACCTCAGCTCCTGGCGGGGCTGAGACCAAACACCTATTAGAGTGGCACTGTAAAGTAATGCATTCCCAGGGGTAGGTCAGAGCTTCCTCCAAACCACTGATTCCATCTCAGTTTTACATTCACTCATTACCAGAGTAACAGATAGAGGACAAAGAAGTTGACCCCTATCTGCACTCTTAGGTCGCCTCTGCTGGAGGCCTCAGACAGTAGCCAGAGGCAGAGTGGAAGCAGCCCACACTTTATCTGACTGACCTCACAGTGCTGCTAAACACAGCTTAGAGAATCCAGGTATGCCTGAGAGGTAAATTAAGATGGATTTTAGGACATTGATAGCCCTGCTGCTTAGGCCTTGCGTGTTGGTAAGGTGAATGAAATGATGCACAGTTTTCCTCCTTATCGCTATCTGAAATGGTTGGGTTGTTTCCAGGGTCTGAATCTTAACACTTGCCAAATACGAATAAGGAAGACCACACCTTTGCCACTAGATGGTATATAGTTGAATGTTAGGATAATTATCATTGATGTTGTGTGAGTCTATTGTACCCCAATATAACCTGCCTAATCTTTTCCTCAGGAGTTTATCTAATTAGGCCAGTTCCTCTTTCCATCTATATACAGTTATCATCTTCATTATGTACGTGGCAAAGATTTGGGAATGGAATGAGAGTGGTGTCCTTGATATACGAACAAAGTGTAATATCTTGATAAGGCTAGAGCCGTGGATGTTTCCTCATCTGCAAACATGTATGATGTAATAATGTGATGACATGGCAGACTGGCATTGTATAAAATGCTTATTTAACTGTGAGTTGTGAGCACTCAACGAGATGTGAGCCTGGTTGGCAAGCCTTCTGTAACCCTAAGCAACTTCTCTGGTCTGAGTAAGATTATAATTTCTATCAAAATCGTTGTCAAGTATTCCTTAGAGATAGGGTGAGGAGCTCAGAGTAGAGCCGCTGCTCCTTCACATCGAGAGGAGCCAGTTGAGGTGGCTCGTGCATCTGTTTAGGATGTCTTCCTCGTGAGGTATTCCAGGCACGTCCCACCGGGAGGAGGCCCAGGACACGCTAGCCTCGTGAGACCATCCTGATCTTGCGAGCTTTCAAGATTTCACTCGCTAATCAGTCTGGAGACTCTCCGTTGAAGAAAATTTGGAGCCCTTCACCAAACAAACGTCCAATCAACGTTGAGGTGTGACGCAACGAGAAGCACGACAGTTCAGTCTAAGGAAACATGGCGGCTTCAGCCGATGAAACTAGCGTTAGCTTGGCTATCGAGCAAGTTTTATCGGAATTACAGAGTATTTCTTCACTGAAAGAAGAGCAAAAAACTGCTCTGGAGGCTTTTCTCAGAGGAAAAGATGTTTTTGCTCTTCTCCCGACTGGTTTCGGCAAGAGTAGCCTGGCTTGTGGTTGTGTTTTCGTTGTCGGTCTGTTGGTACGTCATATGCTTCTTTGATCTGATTGGTTTATTTGGCCCGTCTATCACCAACATAGGCCAATCAGCTAACCAGTATTTTCGCCCCTTCCCAAAATTACTTCAACGGAAGGTTTCCAGATGGATATGCGGAGCAAATCCATCTGGCGGAGTCAGGTTAAGGACACGCTGGAGGGACTATGTTTCTCGGCTGGCTTGGGAGCGCCTTGGGGTTCCCTCGGAGGAGCTGGCCCAAGTGGCTGGGGAGAGGGACATCTGGACGTCCCTACTGAAGCTGCTACCCCCGCGACCCGACCCTGGATAAGCGGAAGTGGATGGATGGATGGATGGATGGATGGATGGATGGATGGATGGATGGATGGATGGATGGATGGAAGTTTCATGCTTATTTATTGCATATACGTTAGGAAGTGTTATTTAAAGAGTTTTTCCTGAGTGATTTCTTTTCAGGAAAAAGAACCGGAGAGAGAGAGCCTCAAGGTGTAAGCTCCCCCCCGATGATAACTTTTGAGAATTTATCAAATCGACACATTCGGAGACTATTTAAAATTAGAATAATCTCTTATGTAATTAAATCAACCAGGATGTAAATAAGCAAATGTAAAAAAAAAAAAAAGACTGAAAACTATGCCTCAAACTCGTCAGTCGTGAGTTATAATTAGTGCAGGTCGAACACTTTAAGACAGAGTTAAGAAAAGCTGAGATTTGGTTTGAAATTTGACTAAATCTGGAAAATATTAGGGGGTATGATGAGTATATTTGCAAAGCACTGTTGCTGCATAAGGCGGCTCACTATGAGGGAGATGGTGGTGTGTTTAAATCTGTATTCAGTTCTCAAAAATCCTTGCTATGCAGAACACGGAGACATGGGACACCTTCAAACCATTTCTGGACTTCTTTTTACATATTAAGCTACGATCAACGCTCCGATTTTGACCTTTTCTTCTCTTGTTCCCCTTGCTGAACACTCAGGATGTAGGGTTCACCCAGGAAGCTAAGGCATAAAGAAAAATGTGTCTCTACGCTCCATGCTTCTTACATTTTAAAATATTTCTGCTCATGTTTTATGCCCACATGAGCTTCAGATGCCCACTCCTCCCCATTTACGTCTTAATTTAAATGCCTTTGGTTTGTCTCAAACTGAATCATTGATTACGGAAACCACAGCATGAAACTTTCAAATCCTAAGAATCCTACTTTCTGACAGAGGAACTCGCGTTGAACAAAAACAGGAAGGAAAACTCCTTCATTAGCATTTTTATATGAAGCCAAGTGCATTAAAGAAGCTGTCCATTATCACACCAGAGAGTATGAGCTAAGCTAAACTAGATACAATAAATATTTAAGATTTAGACATAGATTGGCCACAGCACAGTAACCTAGAGCAGACTTTCTGCCAACAATCTGACTTCTACCAGTTTCTGCTTGGCAAAGGGATAATATATCAATATATACTGATGGCTAGGGGAGTAAAACACAATTTTCATGTTGTCTCCATTACATACAGTCGTTCATTAACTACAGGATTCGACTTAAATGATTGTTTGCTTTGTAATCTTTTTTTTGTAAAGTACAATGATGGTTGGAAGAAATTCAATCCTGGGTTTAATGTAGGCGAACATAATAAAGCTTGTCTGACCTTTACCGGGCTCTTAAATTTAATCAGCAAGTGTGTCCAAGTCTATAAAAGCTGAAGTTTACGCTTCCCATTGGACTGTGATGTAGAGGTGTTTTTCCTAAAATGTCAGAATAAAGAGACACCAGCAGTTCTTTTGGAGAAACAACCTTTCCTTCACTGATGATTCTGTTATAGCTGATAGAGATGTTATAAATATATATACCCCTACCTTTTTAATCCCGTGAAAAAGTAATCAATCCATGGACAGTGCTTCTATGGTCCAATTAAACATGGAGAAACTTCTAAAACTGCTACAGATGCATTAACAACTGGCAAGCAATGGCCAATAGGGATGTCAGTGCTGATATATGATGCATCCTTAGTTAGAAAATCCATTACAAATAAGAGTACCATGTGGGAAATGATAGGGAAACCTGGAGGCGCGTGATCGGAAGGAACAGACTTCCTGATCTAAACACGAACTGTGTTTCATTATTAGACTTCTGTCCAAGTCACGGATTGTCTATAATGAACACTATGTTGAAGCAGGGTGTCCGTCAGCGCACCTGGCACTAGGCCACCCTAGGCTGGAGGTCAATGATTGAATTTGTAGTCATATCATCTGACCTTCGGCCGCAATCTTGGACAGTTGGGTGAAGAGAGGAGTTGAGCTGCTCTGGAAGAGGAGAAGGCCAGACACACTTGGCAGGCCCAAGTGAGTAGTGGGGGGCTCCTTGAAACGTCTGGAGTGGTCTGGGACGTGTTCAGCTCCCACCTCTAGGAGAGCTTCTCCCAGATTCTGAGGGAAGCTGGAGACATGAAGTTTGAGAAGACCATGTACTTTGCCTCCATTTTCGATGTGGCTGTCCATAGCTGTGGCCATAAGGTCTATGGTGCCCGTCTTGGCGTTGATTCTCCAAGCTGGTGGTTGACACCAGCAGTAAGGGATGCTTTCAAGCTAAGGAAGGAGACTTATCCAACCTTGTTGGGTTGTGGGACTCCTGAAGCAGCAAGTAGGTACCGTGAGGCCAAGCTTACCGCTGCCCAAATGGGTGGAATTAGTTATTTCACCTTTCCGATTCATGATCCACCACGAACGGGTTTGTGCTTGAAGAGGGAGGATTCAAACTTCTGGCAAGAGAAAAAACACGTAATATGTAGCCAACATTTGGAAGAAGAATGTTTTCAAGATGACTTGGATAATAGCAGATTGTGAGAAACATCAGATACAGTACTGGGACTTGATCAACAGCCGCTACCGCACCACACCGTGACGTCACAAACCAGTAGGTGGCAGTAGTGCTCTTTGGCAAACATGGATGTCTCTGGTAAATCACATTCAATGAACACATCCTTTATTGAACAGTATGTAATAATTTCATATTTAAAGTACTTTCAGAACTTTGTATTCTGAATGTGAGCGGACTTTTTTATTAAAGCAGGAGTCTTCAAAGTTTTCCA